GGGGGTCATACATAAGGGTGGGTCATATTTAAGGCCCAGAAAGATGGGGGGCCGGGGTGGGTTGCTGGCAGAGGTAAAGGGCAGACTTAACGAGATTACACACATCGACTTTGATCAAGACACAAAAGCAGCGAGGCGTTCCAAGGCTTTTATTGGCATCTTCGGGCTACATTTTAATGGTTACATTAGTAGCAGGCTATTTCAGGCAGCGAGGACTGGTTTAATAAATTGAGGGCTGAGGGGCGGGGGTTGGGGGGGCTCCTGGAACACATGAGAGGATGCTTATTAATTGTTTCCCAGCACAAGTGCCAAGATCCTTTAATGTGTGTATATGTTTCTAATCCGCCGGCTGGGAATGCTCGCTTCTCGGGACCACAATGCAGCCGGATACCATGCTCGGTGCAAAACGTGGAACCGTCCGCCGGAGCTACCCATACATCACAGCCGTGTGAGTGCTGCGTGTGGAACTACAAATGCCAGCGCACCAAGCTGGCCAGGACATACTAGGAGCGGACTGTGACGGACTGCACCGTCACTGTGCTAGTTGGAGGGGGCTGCAGACTGGCCTCTTACCCACCGATTATGGCCCAGCAAGAGAACAGGAGATTTTGGGGCTAAATGTACATTTTATATGCAGACAGCCCAGTCGGGGTACCCGGGGTCCGTCACACTGACATCAAAACTAACACCGGCCACTAGTTATCCCGATCGCACTGGGCCGGAATGCATTGTTGTGCCCGCCTCATGGTGCGGGCGATAGCACTGGAAGCCGGGGGTGTTGTGGGGTGGTGTGGTGTGTGTGTTGTATGGTGTGGCTGCTGTGCCATTGACTTCAATGCACCGCCACGCCCCCTCCAAGCACGCAGGCGGCAGTTCACTATGTTCCAGCAGCTAATCGCCCCGGAACGCACTGTTTATGGTGTGAACAAGAAAGCAAGACTAATAATCTGCACAAATATTTTGTTGTATGCAAACTTTTCTTTTTAGGACAAGCTCCCTTCGAATCCATGCATTGGGCAAAAGAGGACCTGTCACGATCAGGCTTATGCAGCATTAAGCTTTAACATGAAAATGTGACTTCAGAACTTAAAGTGACATTACACTCTCAGATTTTTTAACATAAAATACTGTAATGTGCGCCGCACTGTAATCCATGGTAGTTTCCCTTCTCTTAGCTGCTCTTCCTTTTAAATCTGTATCTGTTCTCATGCTGGGCAGAACTTCTGTTTTGCAGCTGACTGCTTTGTCTCTGAAATGGATACACGGCGTCTGTGTGCAGGTTTGTAACCTGAGCCAGCACTACAGGAAGAGGCACTCAGCTGCAAAGGGAAGTTCTCCCCCAGCATGAGAAGACATGAGGATTTAAAAAGGAAGTGCAGCAAAGAAGGGAAACAACCATGGATTACAGTAAGGCGCACATTACAGTATTGGTTTATGTTAAAAAATCTGAGGGTTTAATGTCACTTTAATTCTGCAGTTTTCAGTAAAATAATCCCTGGTGATCCTGCCATGAAGGTCCTTTTTCGGGCACTTCCTGTTAAGAGGGTGACAACTGTCTCCCAATTGTGCTCCCGCATGCTCACCCGGTCACATGCTCCCCATAGTGCAGGCATGGTTCATGGTTGTTCGTAGCAGAAAGCCGGTCTGATCCCTCACAATAGAAACTAGTAACAAGTTTATGAAATAAAGTAACAAAACATATTTTTTAATGTCTGACTACAAAGCTTTTCTAGAACTTGTGTGGTGCATCTTGTGACTGGGATTTGCAACACACATCTCAAAAATATAACACTGTCACCATATGCAGTGCGTTCCGGCCAGAACGCACTGCATCGCATTTAGGCTGGCTACTTTTTTGCTGGGCAGGAGGGGGCGTAGCGGGCCATTGAAGTGAATGGCGCCGTAGCCATGCCCTGTGGCCGCAATGCGATCGCCCGCACGGGATCGCAGAACACATTGTGCCTGCGGTTCAGTCCAGTGCGGTCAAAATGCTGCGAGCACTAATTTTGACCGCACCACACCGCAGTCACAATCCCGTGTGGGCGATCGCAGGGCGTGGCTACGGCGCCATTCACTTCAAATGGCCCAGCCACGCCCCCCGCTGCCCAGCAAAAAAGGGAGCCGGCCACAATGGGATGCAGTGCGTTCTGGCCGGAAACACACTGCATATGGTGTGAACGAGCCCTTAAAGTATTAACGGAGGCAGGCCGCCATTTTGAAAACACTACTAGCCCCGCTGTCATGTCGATTCCCTAACATCACTAGAGACCCCGATCCAGTGGGCACCTTTCTCTCTAAGGCATTTGCAGCCAGAAGCTGTTACAGGAACCAACCTCTTTCTAGGTAGCAGTGAATGCTGGGAGTTGTAGTTCCTCACCAACCGATGGATCACAGGTTGCCCGCCCATCCTATGGACCCTCCTGCTGTAGTTGAAACCTCTCCAAAGACGGGGACTAACTGCACCAATTAGAGGCGATCTAGGCCCGGGCCCTGATCCTCAGACGACATGAAAGAGTTGTGCTAATGATGTGAGGCCGCACGGAGACCCAACAATGTGAGAGCGCTGAAATAATCCGCCCGCAGGAACGGCTGCGCTTATAAAACTCTAAACAGATTTTCTGTTCCGTAATTAGGAGCGTTCTCCGTGTCTAGAGAAATAAAAAAAACCATCTCCACCCAGAACGGCTGTGAAATGGCCCCGAGCCTTACCAAAGTGCGCAGCCAGCATTCCTCGCAGTGCACGTGCCAGCACTGAATGGACGTCAGGGGCATTGTGTACGAATCCTGGAGAGCAGAGAACAGGAATTAGTTCTACAGATATTCCGCCATTAAAAAGGAACGTTACTGGGATCTGTTTTACATAACGCAGAGTAACTCTACAAAAACTACGACCTCTGCATCCGTCGGGTCCCCTCGTCTCTGCCAGGAGCACAAGGAGACTGCAGGTCTTGGGGAGAGCTCAGCAATCTGATACGTCCTCAATGATCACAGCTCCAGGCTCCCGATATATTGCATCCCAAGCACACCTTTAGATGACGCCACAATGTTCAGGCTATCCTGTACTAGAATGTGCATCTCCTTGCTGGAGAGGAAGCTGTACCCGAGTACCTGCAGTGCAAGGATCTCCCTGCTCCTGCTTCATCCATTCTGTGGATCTGTGCTTCCTCCACCTCTATCATTAACACCACACAGTCATCAGAAGGGCAGTATTCTTATATTAAATGTTTTATTAGAGATATTCCAGGTAATAATACATATAGCACAGATATAATTAGGGATGCACCGATACTAGTACTGGTGTCGAGTATTTGGGTGAGTACTTGTGCTCCGATGCCTAGCCCGATACTTGAGCTTCCGGTATCAGGAAGACGGGCAGCGAGTCATGACACGTTGCCCGGCTTCCTAATTGGCTGGGAAGCCGGCTCCATGCTTCGTCACCAGGTGACGAGGGAGCATGGAGCAAGCTTCCCAGCCAATCAGGAAGCCGGGCAACGTGTCATCACACGCCCCCTGGCTTTCTGATTGCCCAGAAAGCCGGCTTCATGCTCCCTCGGCACCTTGTGATGAGGGAGCATGGAGCCGGCTTTCCGACCAATCAGGAAGCTGGCCGACGTGTGATGACGCGTTGCCCAGCTTCCTGATTGGCCACCTTCTCAACCAATCAGGAAGCCGGGCAATGCGTCATTACATGGCACCCGGCTTCCTGTCCTGGCCAGAAAGCTGGCTCCGTGCTTTCTCATGTCCTGGTGACGAGGGAGCATGGAAACCGGGTGGCAAGTCTTTACACCCCGCCCGGCTTCCAGGCCAATCAGGAAGCCAGGTGACGAGTCATTACACGCCGTTTGGCTTCCTTAATGGGACTTCCGGTATTGGTATTGGCAAGTACTGGAAAAATAAATAAATATCGGTACTCAATACCCAAAAAAATGCTATCGGTGCGTCCCTAGATAAGTAAGACTATATCAATTTAAGAGCTCTGAGAACCCATCGTCTTAGGTTTCATAGAGGCATCTGGAGGTGAGGGAGGAGGAATCTCTGACTTGTCTTATATGGGTATCGAAGTCATCTTGTACCAGCATAGTGTGTGAGGGGTAGGCATGGCTTTAAAGTGGAAGAAGGGGGTAAGAAGGGGGTGGGGCTTTCTAAGGCTTTTGCAGCTTTCTTTTTGGGGTATCAGAGACAGAGCCATCTCAGCAGATAATATTCTAAGGTTCTACTTGGGTTCATGTTTTAGACATAAGACAATTGTGTTGATCTTCATAACGAAGTAGTAGACAAGGGTACCAAGTGAGTTGCAGAGGGGGACAGATTTGACAAGAGGAAGCAAGACCCTCCTCCACTACCAAGATGGCCACCCCCACCCAGACAGAGTGCAGAACAAGTCATGGTAGGTCAGTAAATGGTAAAAAAATCAACTGCAGGTAGACATATTAGTGCCAAGTCCTTTGTTTGCCTTTTTTTGGGCACAGCTTCTGCAGTACAAATATGTCTGGCATCAGATACCCCAAAGCCGGACGATTTACAGGCAGAGGCTCCAGTTTTAGGTCTGCTGTAATCCGAACTTATTCTACTCAGCACATTTACAGTCTATGGCACAAACACTATTGTTAAATATATATATTGGCAGCTTACAATACTATATTTTATTACAATATATTGTGCTTCAGTGACTCCCTTCTCAATTAAACATCCAGCTTGGTAGGAAGTGGTTGAGTAGTCTGCCATGTACTCTCTAACCTACATTAGGAGAATGTACAATCTTCTGGAGAGGTGCTTAAAAGGGACACCCAGATAAAAGGATAGATGGGGTTGTCACTGCTGACCTCAGTATAAAAATACCGGCTGTTAGGGAGCCATGCTGACAAGCAGTAAATATAAATTTGAGACTTCAACCTGAGTGAAGTCAAAGTTCTGATCCGCTTGTTCCTGGAAGGTTCTGAAGCCACTGGATCAGCCAAGCAGCCAGGAATAAGCATTTCTATGAGATCCACAAAGGTAGCCTACGTTCTTCCTGTAAAGGTCATGCCTGGGGTGCAGGGTAAAGGTCATGACTGCAGACTCCTCTATAGACTGAACCAAGCCAGCGAGCTTCATATCACATTTCTGACACTGTCCCCGAGAACTGCTGACCGCACAAAGCTGAGACTGCACCAGGATTTGGTGAATCCTGCTGACACGGCAATATCTGCACCACGCGTCCACCACCTATCAAGACATGTCTGCATTGATTAGAAAGCACCGATACGCCACTCACCATGCAAATGAGGCATTTGTAGCGGTCCCCTCGGGACAGCTGTCTCTCCAACTCCCGGATACGTGCCTTTAATGCTTCAAACGTTGTCACTGTCGACTCTTCTGTGATCCTGGGATAAAGAGAAAAGCGTTTTATGCCAAAAACAACATCCAACATAAAAGGAAGGATACACAAGCAAAGTAACAAAAATACAAAACAAAATACTGAAGCAACGTATTAACCCCCAAAAAGTGAAACATGTAGCGCAAGATATTCTGCAGAAACAAAGCCAGAGATTTTACTGCACGTTTTGCATTTATTTGGAGTGCATGCCATTCAACAACAGTGTACTCTGCCATGTTACAGGATAGTGAATAAAGGGAGCACCGAAATCTGCACCTCGTTCTGTTTGTTAACCCCTCTTCAGCTCTCATCATTTAGTGGGTGTAAAGAGCAATCACGTTCAAAATGACACCAAATCAAAGATTCTGGTACAAAGCACTGCAAATTATTTACAAATGAAACAAAGGTTTCTTTCCAAATATTGCGACACCGCAAAAATAACGAACAAAACAAAAGTTTAAATACGAGAAGTTATTAGTTACAGTTAATAGGAACAATTTTTTTTTTTTTTATACTTGTCAGGTTGCTTTAAGTGACATCCATATGCAGATTGAAACACATTCCTTTTATCTGCAGATGAGAGAAATGGAGTAGATACAAAAGTACAATGTTACTCTCCCCTCTGATCAATGTTTATCAACAATGTTACTTTGCATCTCTCTCTCTCCCTCTGATCAATGTTTATAAACAATGTTACTTTGTATCTCTCTATCTCCCCTCTGATCAATGTTTATAAACAATGTTACTTTGTATCTCTCTATCTCCCTCTGATCAATGTTTATATACAATGTTACTTTGTATCTCTCTCTCTCCCCTCTGATCAATGTTTATAAACAATGTTACTTTGTATCTCTCTCTCTCCCCTCTGATCAATGTTTATAAACAATGTTACTTTGTATCTCTCTATCTCCCTCTGATCAATGTTTATAAACAATGTTACTTTGTATCTCTCTATCTCCCTCTGATCAATGTTTATAAACAATGTTACTTTGTATCTCTCTATCTCCCTCTGATCAATGTTTATAAACAATGTTACTTTGTATCTCTCTCTCTCTCCCTCTGATCAATGTTTATAAACAATGTTACTTTGTATCTCTCCATCTCCCTCTGATCAATGTTTATAAACAATGTTACTTTATATCTATTGTGGTTTGAACAATGGTTTTAAACAGAGGTCCTTTTTTTTTTTTTTTTACAGTTGCTGCATTTCCAGGGCAACTCCCGGCTGTCACTGCAAGGTGGGGGGCAGCAGTGGAGGTACGACTCATCCCAATTTATTTTTTGGGCATGTAGCAAGCCCAACTGGTTAAACTCTGTGTCCATCTAAATGTAATATTTCAAACCACATTTCCCCCGTATCACAGAGCGCACAATGTAAAATGTTGTCACACACCTCCCTTAGAGGACCCATTCAAATTACCCTGTTAAAATCACAGACTAGGCAAGAGCCCTCCCAACACCCCAATATCTCGGGACAAAGCCAGACTGGTACCATGACACAACAGAAAGACCATAAACTGCCAGAATTGTGCAAATAAGAAAAGGCATTTGGTTTATAGGTTCTCTGACATCTGCATGCCACCTGTGAAATGAAGCAATGAAGCCTTGCTGAGACTACAAGTCTCAGCAAGGCTTTACAGGCTAGTGAGGTCTGCGAACTGGAAAGATGGTATGACTGGGTCCAAGATACTGAAATATTAGGGGAGAGTACATAGGATTACCTGTATAGAAATGATGCAGAAATAACCGATAACAGTGGACTTGATCTGTCCTAATAGACTAGGGGCTGCGTCCGTTATTTGCTTCCTCGCATCCTCAGGCTCTACAGAGGACCTGAATGTCTGGCCAAGTTCACTCTAAGCCAGGGGTAGGCAACCTTGGTACTCCAGCTGTGCTGAAACTACAAATCCAAAATCATGCCTCTGGGAGTCATACCTAGGGCTGTCAGAATCTTGCAATGGCTCATGGGAAATGTAGTTCCGCAACAGCTGGGGTGCCAAAGTTGCCTACTCCTGCTCTAGGCGGTTACCATGTCATTAAATGTTGAAGCCTCTACTGGCCATTGAGGGATCGTTAAAAGACGCCGGGGTTTAGTGTAGACTTAAGTCGTGGCCACTAGTACAACATGGGCCTAGGACCCAGAAGGATTAAATGCAGGCACCTGAAGACTATTGTTAGCCTGTGTACCTTTCTGAGACCACGCCAGGTTCACTTTATTGATTGCCATCTAACGAAAAGTCAAGCTGCCACGGTGGATCTTTCCAGTGGTCTGTATGAAAGCTTTAGATGTGTCTGTATCAATGTCTGAGGGATAAAATGTATCAGGAGAGTCTGGAGGAAAGAAGGGAAAGGATGGACATGACTGAAACCTTTATATACACAAAGGGTGTGAATTAGGTTCAGGACTACAGTAAGGAGTAGCTGATGCTTGGAACGATCTTCCAGCAGAGGTGGGGATCTTCTTTAATACATTCCTAGCTTCCCCTTGCTCCGTTGGTCACCAAGCTTACACTTTTGTTTGCAGACTTCAAAGTTTGCACAAAACGGCATAAAAATGTGAATGCCGGGCGAGCGTCACAACGAGTGGATTCCTTCCCTTTCTCATGAGAGATCTGCTCTTGGCCACCACCACAGACATGACTACACTACTCAGGGGCGGCGTGGGTGGAAGGCACACGGGATGAACTGAACAAAGCAAGCAAGCGATATTTACAGACGGCCGCAGCCAGCTCTTCTATTTTCTTTCTCTCAACAGGTAAAGAGACGTACATTCCCTTTGTAGAGAATAAGAGGCGCGCTGAGACGGTGCAGAATGATTTATATGGACGCAGGGGGATAAAGTTTAGAGCCCGTCTGATACAAAAGCAATCAATAGCTGGACTGCAGATCAGGGCGCTAGTTAGCTGGAAAATTAGCGCATCACTCGCTGTGCCACGCTGTGGGAAGCCTGGACGAATCAATGGCAAAGGTATTGATTTAGTTATTATCACTTCATAGGCTCCCAGACATTGTTAAATATACATTTATTAACAAGAGAAGGGAGCTGGCGAAGGGAGGATTCCTCAGATCCGGGGCCTTCATCTGCTGCTAATCAAAAGCTCTGCAGAGACCCGGGGACACGGCAACGTCTCGCCCGCTCTCCACCACTTACCCCCCGCTGCCTGCAAACTAGGCTAAAATCCCCAGTCTGTCGTCCCTTATTAGAACATACAGGATAGACCGGGGGAGATGCCCCGCTGGGAACAGGCTGGTATTACTGGATACACATGGCAGGAGGCTGCTTAACCCTGCGAATGCCAAGAGACATGACAATATGAGAATATGAGAAGACACAGAGACCAGGACTAACATTTATGTCTAGAAACCATTAATTGGGTCAATTCAAAATGGCCCACTGATGCTTGGGGGCCCCTAGAACAATGGCCCACTGATGCTGGGGGCCCCAGAACAATGGCCCACTGATGCTGGGGGCCCCAGAACAATGGCCCACTGATGCTGGGGGCCCCAGAACAATAGCCCACTAATGCTCGGGGGCCCCTAGAACAATGGCCCACTGATGATCGGGGGGGCCCCCAGAACAATGGCCCACGGATGCTGGGGGCCCCAGAACAATGGCCCACGGATGCTGGGGGCCCCAGAACAATGGCCCACGGATGCTGGGGGCCCCAGAACAATGGCCCACTAATGCTCGGGGGCCCCTAGAACAATGGCCCACTGATGATCGGGGGGGCCCCTAGAACAATGGCCCACTGATGCTCGGGGGCCCCCCAGAACAATGGCCCACTGATGCTCGGGGGCCCCAGAACAATGGCCCACGGATGCTGGGGGCCCCAGAACAATGGCCCACGGATGCTCGGGGCCCCAGAACAATAGCCCACTAATGCTCGGGGCCCCAGAACAATAGCCCACTAATGCTCGGGGCCCCAGAACAATAGCCCACGGATGCTCGGGGCCCCAGAACAATGGCCCACTAATTCTAGGGGCCCCAGAACAATGGCCCACTAATTCTCGGGGCCCCAGAACAATGGCCCACTAATGCTCGGGGGCCCCCAGAACAAAGGCCTCCTGATGCTCGGGGGCCCCCCAGAACAAAGGTCCCCTGATGCTCGGGGGCCCCCCAGAACAAAGGTCCCCTGATGCTCGGGCCCTCAGAACAATGGCCCACTGATGCTCGGGGCCCCCCAGAACAAAGGCCCCCTGATGCTTGGGGGGCCCCCCAGAACAAAGGCCCCCTGATGCTTGGGGGGCCCCCCAGAACAATGGCCCACTGATACTCAGGGGACTCCAGAACAATGACACACTGGCACTCAGGGGTCGCAAAACAGCAACACTATAATTTGTAGTTTAAATGACTTTTCAGTTATTGCCTATGACACGATCTATTAATTACACAGCCCTAGGTTGGTGATATTTGCCCCCCTACTCACCTAGATTAAATGGAGAGAGAACGCCTGATTATGTGTCCGACCCCAATAAATGCCAGTATCCCCCCCATCCGCCCTCAGCGTGCTCTCATTTGTCACAAGTTTACCCACAGCTACTTTATTTTTTTTTTTCCCGTTGAAAATTAAATTGAGCAATCTCGGTGCCGTCCCCAAGGAATGTTCCTAGCCGTTCTCTTAATTAAATTATCTCCGAATTTGCAGAGTAGAATCTTAATTGACTCTAGATTGTGCTTTCTAAACAAAATACTTCAGAGATCATACAAGTGCTTAACAAAAACAGCAAGCGGGCGCGCCGGAGGCCACGCGATCCCGCAACATCCAAAGACACAATCGCCAGGTACTCAAATACCCATCCGAGTCAGGAATGTGTCGTCATGACACAAGAGAAGAAGGGAGGACACACGTGAATGAAGCCACTCAGTCCAATCACAACACAAACTTCCCCAACAACAATATAAATAAATCAAAATCGGGATATTTTCAAGCGGCATTGGACACACGGCTCCCATGACTGGTCCATCCCTGATAATAGTAAGGCCTGGTTCACACCTGTACGTTTTGT